TTCACCTTGCATATCACTGGTAATGTTACACAGTTTAAAGTTCTAGAACATGTTAATTTCAGTGCTGCTGAATGGATTTTTTCCCACCACTGTTTGATTTTTATATTCAGTGATGCTGATGCACCCCTGTGGGGCTATGTAAAATAATAAATAAACCACAGTTTTAGTCTCTAATCTATGTTGCCATCTGCTGGTAGTAAGTAGCAATGGCTGAACACCTGTCAGTCACAAATGAGGGCATGATTGACAATTTATAGTCATTTTAGCGTCTTTTAAGTAACTCCTTTTACTCTTTTTTGTGCTAACTACAACCTCGTTCACAATTGAAGCATTTCATTACTATGGGTCAAATAAGGGATTAGAAACTGCTTTTCTTTTTTGCCTAAGGAGCAACTAGGACTGAATCCTATCTTCTTTAGCCCATGATTTAACAAGGCACAGTCTCAAGGAAGCCCACAATGAGGGGTCTTTGACTGCCCCGTCCAAATTACTACCTGGGGCCTCACTCATTAACTACCCAGGTTGAATTAAAATAGTTTTGTAGCAAGGCAATTGCTTTAGACAGCTAGGCTGATAAATAACCCAGTCCCTATTATCTCAGTTCTAATACATAGGATAACTCAAGACTTCAGCAGCTGAGTCAGCAGAGAGAATGGGCACAACTCCAATCCTGCTGTCCAGTTGCAAACATAATTCCAACTGCTCGGCACCTCTGGAAATCAAGCCACTTAGATAGCTGTGTAAATAAAAACTTAGGTGCCTAAATTTAGGCATCAGTGTTTGAAAATTTTGGCCTAAGTGACCTGACCACAATAAACTCATGGAAGAGCGGGGAATAGAACCCAGTAATCTTGCATTTCAGGCCCCTGATTTTATATTCTTAAATTGCCCAGCAGGCCAGTTTAAATAGCCTGAATGAACAAATGGAAGAACTGAAAGAAGGTATGTTTCTAGTGAAGACAGAGAGAGGCATAAGGCAGGACCAGCCTGTTCAACTAGTTTTCTCTTTTAATCCTCCCTCTATTTATGTAGCAAGACTGGCAAGTAGAAGGGGAAAGGAGGAGGAAAAATGTAAACTGAATGGCAGCAAGGGACCCAGTGCCACCTTCATCTCTAACACTATGGCAGTCCTGCCTGGTCTGTAAAAGGAGTGTATCTGTAGACTTGCTATATTTCTAATACTCTAGGATACAAAGAGAAAAATAATGAAACAGAATATCATGTGGGTTTTGATATTCTGTGTAAATGACCTGTTGCATCTTATTATTTTTCAACTGTCTGGTCATCAGTAGGGCAAGAGCATCTCACCATTTCAAAGTGTGATTAAAGGTTACTTGAGAGAACAATGTGTTCAGCAGCCAGTTCACTCTCTTTGGGACATTTTCTGTGTTCTGTACAGCACTTTGGTGCTTAATAAATAGATAAAAATAAAAACAGAAGACAATAATTTGGGATAAAGCAGCTTTTGGATGAGAGATACTGGACTTCCTGATCCACTCCAAGTCTCCAATAAAGCAATGTACAACAATACAACAGGTGATTATACCAATATAATTTTAAAAGCCTCTAAATTAAAAATCAACAAAAATATTACTGTATGGGAGGAGGAAAAGGATAATGGTTTTATACATACACACACACACACACACACACACACCCCCCTACCTATATAAAGACTGCCGATATTAGTGTTATGGCTACTAATTAGCATTCATAGTGCTTCCCATACTCCAAACATTGTGATGCTATTGAAAGGACACTCTCCACTTGAATTCATGTCAGCTTAAAAACATAGTACTAACCATTTTCAAGTGCTGTACCCACTCATGACTCCCTCTGCTAATTTTTGTGGTTTTACAATCATATTTTCCTATTTGTAAAAAATGTTTCTTACCTTTGTTACTTTTTGAAAGACCCACAAGTACAACAGGGGAAATGGAACAACTATACAAAAGAAAAGTGAACCTGCCAAAAGGCAAAGTGCTGGCATGCTGAAAAATAGAGACAAGTCATTTGTTTGCTCTAACCTTTTTCTGTGACAGGCTCTGAGGAGTTACTTGTGACAATAGCGGGAGCACAGTTTTCAGAGAGAAGTGTGATTTAAGTGAACAGTGCCACTTTAACTAATGAATCCTTCTGGCACAGCCTGGAGGGCTGCCAACACTGTTTCAAAAATAAGGGACTGTTTCTTGGCACCCCACCCCTCCTCCTGATATTATCATTATTATTATTATTAAGAAGAAGAAGAACTCACCTACATTCGCTAGGAGTATTTCTTGCTGCTTTTTGCAGCGTTCGGCTACTCCTGATCTTGTTGTACAGAGATGAAAAATAAGGGATGTCCCTTGTAATAAGGGACTGTTGGCAACCCTAGGCACTTTAAATCAACAACTTTAAATCAACCTGCCACTTTCTAAACAGCAGCCAAGGTACAGAATTGACTGTGGATGCTCCACCTACTGAGCAAACATGCTGTTGCACCCTGTACCCACTCTGAAACAGCAGAGAATCCTGGCTGCAAATCCTGCTAAAACGGGATTACAGTAGTTGAGCCTCATGGGCATGAGCATGTGTGTTGTTGTGCGAGGTCATCTCAGGATAATTAGAGTTCAGCTCACACAAGTTACTGGGAAAGACACTTTCATGCTAAGTTTGGCTAATGGGGGCTTTCCAGGGAAAGAGTGTGACTGCAAGTGACGCCAAGATCCAACTACTTGACACCTTAGTTAAGCTATCCAGGATCCAAAAAGACAACAAGGGTACAAAAACTCTGTGAAGGAAGCAGGGCCGGCTCCAGCATTTCTGCCGCCCCAAGCAAAAAAAAAAAAAAAACCCCAATTGCAATCGGCGGCGGAAATTGGGAAAAAAAAAAAAAAAAGCCGCGATCGGCGGCGGCAGTTCAGCGGCAGGTCCTTCGCTCCTAGAGGGAGTGAGGAACCTGCCGCCCCCGAATTTCCGCAGGTGCCACCCCTCTCCCTTGGTCGCCCAAGCACCTGCTTGTTAAGCTGGTGCCTGGAGCCAGCCCTGGAAGGAAGTCACCAGCTGTATACAGATGTCAGATCCAGTGCTGCCTAGTTCTGTGTTTCCACAGTGGGCCAAAAAGAAGCTTAAGTCCCAAAAGCACCAATTACTGAGGGTGCACCAGGGATCTGGGCACATACTCAAAGTTAAAGTGCACCCATTTGACAGGCTTTTTTATATTATTGGTAATATAAATGATGAAGAATGCTGTATGAAATAGTTGTACAACTAAGATGGAGTGTTATTTGGGTAAGTCCTTCAACACTGGAATAGCACTGTGTACAAATAGGTCTGGATATCTAAATTTTTTAAAAGACAGTACTGTAGTATAGAAGTATGATGAGAAAAGCAGTAAGTAGAGAGGGAGAAAGCTAAAGAGGCATAAACATGAGTATGCTTTGTACCCCTATAAAGTGCTCATTGAATACTTTAAATATATTATTACAGAAGCTTAGTATTGTCAGCACACATAGCATATAAGTACTCTATTAGAAGCAGTGCTCATTAGTGGCTAGAGCACAGGATTAGAAGCAGGGAGTTCCTGCATTCTAATGCTGGCTCTAATATTCGCGCCATCTGTGGCCATGGGCAAGTCACTTAACTTCTCTGCATCTCCAATTCTCCATCAATGAAATGAGGATAACAATACTGTCTGACTGACCCAGATCACGGGTGTTGCAAGGATTGATTTCCTAATGTCTGTAACCCTTTTTTTAAGTTTAAAAGCACTGTATAAAATACTGAGTATTATATGAGTGAATATGTATATAAACTAAACTTTTTATTATGTGAGTATAGTGCACATTGGGCATCCCAATCGCTTATTGGGGCATCTAGGTGCTACCATAATACAAGTAATAATACATTTCTGAGCAATTCATTTTCCAAACTCTCCACCTGCTGGCTTGTCTGCATAACTCATTTTCCTTTTTGAACTATACATTAATCTTCCTATAAAATATCTTGTTATGCTTGTGTAATTCAATTTGCTAATAATTTTTACTATGAAGGCAGTTTACAGATCTTCAGGTAGTAAAGGGGTTAACAAAAGAGTGGTAGCAGGATCAGTTTGCTCCTATAGATGGTATAGATACTCTGGGAAATGAGTGATTTCATAACTCCCAGCAGGAATGTGGAAAATCCACATAGCCTGACACTTGTCTGGAGTTTGAGAGACTCATCCCACACAGAGAACACGGTAGTGAGACTTCCAGGACTGGTGCTCTCTGAAAAGATTCAGACTGAGGGGCGTATCAGGAGAGTTCAGAGGCTGCAAACATCAAGAGCTGTTGCTGCACAAAAGACTGAGTCAGGACAACTACTTGATTTTTCCATTTTTATCAGCCAAGAGCGAGGTGCCTTTACACGTGGGACATTCGCCAAACTGGTTTTTCAAACAGGTTGTCATTTTTGTTTCCCCCTACCCCTGACTTAAATAGGGAAGGAGAATGAAGGTGACTCATAACATTCTAGCAGTGCACCTGAACACAAATACTTTTACTTTTAAAGAATCTGACTTGTATTAAAAGAGCTCACATGAAAACACAGTGCTGCTGCATGTGGATGTTTGAGTTTCACTTTGATATCAGTCTCTCTGAGGCAAACCTGAGTCTTTCCTGAACTTGGGTCTCCATTTGCTGAAATGTGCAGGAGGAGGAGTTTTCGTAATGGTATTTACTACACATTTGAAGTGACTAAAGTCTCATTTGCTAGACTGTCAAAAGGCAGCAGCAACAGAATTAGAAAATTATATTTAAATAAATGATCACAGAAATGATTCTTGAGAATTAATCTCAAATCCTCAATTATTCCAGGCATTTTGTATTGAATTTTGAGGCCTTGTATAGAATGTTTCTTCTACTTATTTTAGGGACAGCAAGCTGTGCAGAAGTCTGTAAGACTGCAGAAATGTGTACCAGAAAACATGATTTGTGACAAAGAGGTTCTACTCTGTGCTTACTAATACCTCTGACATTACCATGAATCAGACAGGAGTACAGGACAATGCCAGTTACATTCAGATTGGAGGCAAATCACCAGACAGTGGGCACTTTACTTCTGAGCATGACTCTGGGTTCCTGACCGCTGTTTGGGCTTCAGTCCAGAAACCTACCTCTGGTAACTGCATTGGTCAAATGGACCTGTGTTCCAACAAGCTGCTGCACATAACTGGACATCTGAGGAACATCGATGGCAAATTCCAGAGCCTCCGGGAGCTTTTCCAAAGAGAAGGTAAATGTCTAAAATTTACATATGTTTGTTCATTTACAAGAAAGGCTAGCATAAAAGTTAACATCATACCAAGTCTGGGCTGGACTTGAAAAGGTCTGGACAGGACCCAGGGTCTTTGTTCTATAAAGCAGCCAGCATTCTTTGGTACATTACATATAAAAAACAATGAAGTCAGATGACTCTCAGACCTTTCAGACCAGACTTTCAATGCCTACTTCCCTTTTTAGCAGGCACTTAATAATGTGTACTCTTATTTGTATTAATTGCACCCATATTTATTGCATCTATAAATAACTGCAAGCACATTTTATAGCACTTCCGCAAATAAGAACCCAGTTGCTTCATCAAATGAAAAGCAAAGACTCCTATGTGCTATAGATGGCACCTGCAATTACTGGTGGATGAAAAATCTGATTTACAGCCTTTCTAAACAGTAGTGTTAGTGACTGCAATGAAACCCACTAAAAGGAAGCAGATGCTGAAAATCTAGCCTGCATTGCTAATAGCAGCATTGTCTAACTATATCCTGCATAGGGATGGATGGTATCCAGGGAGGGTCCTATCTACATTTATGGTAAATGGCAAAGTGACTTTGTTTAATGGCATATCACATCAGCATGGGGGAAAGCCGACAGGTGTGCAGGAGCAAACAGTGTGGTACAAGACATCCCTTAGAGGATCATACTCTATATCCTAGTGAAGAAGAGAGGATGGAAGTTAATAAAGTAGAGGTAGGAACTGAAGAGAAACAGTCAAATGAAAAGGAGTCTCCTTCAATTACATCACATGAAGGCAGACAACTAAATATTGACAAATTTTATAAATGCTTATATACAAATGCAAGAAGTCTAAATACTAAGATGGTGAACTTGAGTGCCTGGTATTGAACAAGGATATTTATATAATAGGCATCACAGAAACTTGGTGGAATGATGATAATCAAAGGGACATGGTAATATCAGGTACAAAATATATAGGAGTGACAGAGTATGTCACTTTGGTGCGGGAGTGGCACTATATGGGAAAGAAAGCATAGAGTCAAATATAGTAAAAAAGAATCTTAAATGAATCAAACTTTAACTTTGTGGACAGAAATTCCATGCTTGAATAATAAAAGTATAGCAGTAGGATTTTACTACCGACCACCTGCTCAGGATGGTGACAGTGATTGTGAAATGCTCAGGAAGACTAGAGAGGCTACAAAAAGAGAAAATCCAATAATAATCGGGGATTGACTGGGTACATATCACCTCAGGATAAGATGCAGAGATCAAATTTCTAGATTCCATTTATGACTGCTTCTTGGAGCAGCTACTGCTGGAGCCCACAAGGGGAGAGGGAACTCTTTAGTCCTCAGTGGAACACAGGATCTGGTCCAAGAGGGGAATATAGCTGAAGCACTTGGTTATAGCAACCATAATGCAATTAAATTTAACATCCTTGTATGGGGGGAAATATCAAAGAAACCCAGTATAGTCACATTTAATTTTAAAAAGGGAAAGTACACAAAAACAAAGACACTAGTTAAATGGAAATTAAAAGGAACAGTCACAAGAGTGAAATGCCTGAAAGCTGCATGTAAACTATTTCAAAACACCATAATAAAGTCTCAAACTTAACATATACTCCAAATTAAAAAAAATAAAATAAAACAGTAAGAGGACCAAAAAAGTGCCACATGACTAAACAGAGTAAAGAGGTGGTTGGAGACAAAGACATCCTTTAAAAATTGGAAGTCAAATCCTATGGAGAAAAATAGAAAGGAGCATAAACACTGGCAAATCAAGTATAATTAGGAAGTCCAAAAAAGAATTTGAAGAGCAACTAGCAAAAGACACAAAAACTAACAGCAAAACAAATTTTAAGTACATCAGAAGCAGGAAGCCTGCTAAACAATCAGTGGTGCCACTGGATGACTGAAGTGCTAAAGGAGCCCTCAAGGAAGAAAAGGACATTGCGGAGAAGCTTAAATTAATTCTTTGCATCAGTCTTCACTCCAGAGGATGTGAGGGAAATTCCCACACCTGAACCATTCTTTTTAGGTAACAGATCTGAGGAAATGTGCCAGATTGAGGTGTCATTAGAGGAGGTTTTGGAGCATATTGATAAATTAACCAGTAATAAGTCACCGTGACCAGATGGTATCACCCAAGAATGATGAAGAAACTCAGATCTGAAATTGCAGAACTACTAACAGTGGCATGTTAAATCAGCCCCTGTTCCAGATGACTGGAGGACAGTTACTGTGATTTTTAAAAAGGCTCTAGAGATGAGCCTGGCAGTTATAGGCCGGTAAGCCTAACTTCAGTACTAGGCAAATTGGTTGAAACAATAGCGAAGAACAGAATTTATCAGACCCATAAAGGAACCTATGATGTTGGGAAAGAGTCAAAATGGCTTTTGCAAGCATCATGCCTCACCAATCTAGTAGAATTCTTTGAGAGTGTCAAGAAGCTTGTGGACAAGCGTGATCCAGTTGATAAAGCATACTTGAATTTTCAGAGAGCCTTTGAAAAAGTCATACACCAAAGACTCTTAAGAGGGAAGGTCCTCTTATGAATCAGTAACTGGTTAAAAGATAGGAAACAAAGTGTAGGAATAAACGGTCAGTAAAGCACCCACTATTCAAGGTGTGGGCAAACCTTAGATTTGGGTCAGGTTCCAAGGGTCTACTTCTTGACTCCATTCCACCTAGTACATTGAAGTTTTCACATATGGGGGAAATGCTTTTCTCTTGGATGTTAATTATTTTCTCTTTTGCATGCTTCACTTGTGTGTGGGAGCAATAAGGTGTCAGTGCCCCCACAGAGGGGATTTAGCTCTGTCTCCGCGGCAGAGATACTTACTGTGGAGAGGGAGGGGGGAAATTTATGCAGTGAAACACTAGTCATTGATTTTTCCCCTTTCACCTTTTTTTTTTATTATCCCTCAGTATTAAATCATGGGGATGCTTTCTTTTCTTTTCTTTTTTAAACAAATAGCCTTCATTACTTACAATTGTTTATTACTATTCTTATTTCAGGAGCTGTTGTTTCAGGAGCTGTTGAAGCTAAATTGGCAGATTTGCTGCAGGCCGTCTCTTCCCTCCTGAGCAAGTATCCTGCTTTGAATTGTGAAGTTATCCAGCTTGCCACATCAGCCCTCATCACCAGCGTGAATGGTAAATCCCCAACCTGAAAGAGTCAGAAATGTGTGTTATTTATTGTTTGTACTGGGGTAGTGCTCAAAAGCCCCGGTCAGGATCAGGGTCTCATTGTACTGGTGCTGCACATATGGAGACAGGTATCTGTGCATGCAAAGAATGTATGTTATTACAGATGTTATGAAGCAGAAAGTAAGGAATTGTCTGTATTTATTCCAATTAGAAGTCCCATTTTGGGGGAGAAGCTGCTGCTAAAACTTATAAAGGGAGGAAAGTTCAGAGTTGAGGCATCTTCTTTCTTTATCCTCCCATATCCGCAGGTGCCTAGGGTATCCACCAGTTTCCGCTGTTTATTTTCATACTGTGCTGGTAGATGATGTCTTATTTGTTTCTCTGAAGTACAGTTTGTTTAAGGCATATGCTCCTTATTTAACTTTGCTGTTACACTAACATGTTGCTGACATCACTTTTTTTTTTTTTCACTGTAATTTTCACTATTAAAAAGGTGCCAGGGTCTAATGGTTAACCCAGGGAACAGTAATCAGGATGCCTAGATTCTACTTCTGGCTCACATCTAGTTTCTCCCTCTCACTTAGAAGGGAATAGCAAAGCACAGTGGACCCCAGGCACCAGAGTATAAATTTTCTCCTATCACATCCTTCCTGTGGTAGGAGCAAGGAACACTTGCTCAGTCATTATGGCCATTCTTTTTCTTTTAAAAACTGCATTTTCTTCTGCTTCTTCCTTGTGAAAAGAAAACTTGTGAGATGCAGCTGCCTGCAAATCCCTCACTGTCAGTGTCAATTCCACAAAAAATGTTGTTCTTAGAGCTTCCTAAACAGCTAATTCTCCCCCCCCCCCTTCCCCCCCTCAGGAGGTAACTAACTATCCCCACATTACAGCTAGGGAAGCAGAGAGCCTGAGAGGTGAAGTGACCCGCCCAAGGTTACAGACGGAGCATAGTAATTGTCAGAACCAGGATTATCACATGCTAGTTTTAGTACTTAGTCCCATGCCTGAGCCACTAACTACAGCTCTTTCATTCTGAGGCCAGTTCAGCAAGAGTACTGAAAGAGAGACTGGGAATTTTTAGAGCAGGAGTTTAGAAAACTTTATTTGCAGAGGGTTGGGCAGCCTCTCAGGGTCCTACCGCAAGCTGTGACTAGCAGACCTCATTAGGGCCTCTTCTCAGGCTGGCCCATACCAGCTCTGACTATTCTGCATCCTGGCAGCCTGTTTGATTCAGTTCAGATTGGATGATGGTAGCTTTGACTATTTTTACCACCTGGTAATTTCTACACCATACAGGAACAGAACCCAAACTACAGCCTTCCGTACCACAGGGGAAGAGTTAGACCCTACTTAAGAGCAGTTTTGTATTTCAGGCAAATACTTTTGCTAGCAGAGTGCTAGGATAAAAAAAAATCTGTTTGAAGATGAAGAACCCAGTGTTTTCCTAGTTTAAAACAGTAAATGCAATTCAGGAACATGTGCAGGAGAACATGCCATGCTATCTCCCCAGGAACCTAAGGATATTCACCCCATCTGGAAGGAAGGAAGATGCAACAGCTAGCTACTTTAAACCAGCAGCTGTGCCTCTCTGCCACATTTAAAAGGCCTACTCCCCACCCCCGGGGGTGGCATGCTGGGAAAAAAGTTCTTATAAAAAGACCAAATCTTTTCCCTATGGGAAAGGTTAACAGGAAACATAGAAGAGGTTGCTCCACAACGTAGCACTTAACTTTTTCTAATGCAGTCACTGAATGTACATCGTTAATTAGAAAAGCAATAAGGAGATGCAGCAACTGTCTTGCAGGAGATCTCAGTGTTGGGTGCAAATGAAAAGGCTTTCTGCTCTAGGGATAAATTATAATCTTGCTTCAACTACAAATGGGGGATTGGGGGAGAGACAGGGACTATTTATGAGATTAAATGTCTACGGGGCATGAGTGTCTATTACTCCCTGTATGTTGATGTGAATGTAGAAGCTGATCCATTTCTGAAGAATTCCTGTACTTCCTTTTTGTGGGCATCTGCCCAAAGAAAGCTCAGGATTCTGCTTTCTGTGCTTTAACAAAACCAATACAGTAAGAAAAGCTGAGTGGTTAAACTCATGAGGCTAGGAGTCCCAACTCCTGGGTTCTACACTAGGTTGAAATAAGGGGTACCTCCCATCCCTATTTTTGGTGTACTTGAACCACTATTTGCAGAGTTCCTCACATGGGGATTAGATTCCTCCTGGGACTATTCCTTGTATTCTTTCTACATAGTTAGGAGTTGCAGATTTGCTAAGAATGAAATCCGAACAGCCAAACAATCCTTCCCCAGTGCTATCCTTCCTCCTTCTCTCCCCTGGAACACTGCTCTTCCCCCTCCAGAAGAGTAACTGAAAACAATTGGATTGTAATGGGAAATAATGTTCTCATTATCTAATCACCTGTCCCTCACTACTTCTGTTTGGTAAAAGTCATGCAGAAATTAGTAATTAAAGGAAATAAGCTGAAGAAGCTGCCAGTTCAGAATTGATGCTCCTAGTTCAGCTCCTTTTGGAGTCCTGAAGAAATTTGGAATAGGCCTGAATTGCAAATTTAATTTTCAAACTTCCCCAAAGTTCATTGTGCTTGGATTAGGGTAACCAGATGTCCCGATTTGATAGGTACAGTCACGATTTTGGGGGCTTTTTCTTATACAGGCACCTATTACCCCCCACCCCCGTCCCAATTTTTACACTTGCTATCTGGTCACCCTAGCTTGGATCCGGGGTTCTGGTTTGGATCCATGTCTAATAGCCATATGTGTTGTGTTTTTCCAATGCTATAGTAGCAGGCTCAGATACAGCCGCTGGCTCTAGGCATGTGAATTCAGAAATACGCTTAATGTAAATATTTACTACTTTACCCAAACTTTCAATAGCTTATATCTCTCACAGCTCCTTGCAATGATCTTGCTTCCAATAAATCTGTGGAGTGAGTTTTTCCTTTCTGAAAATGTTCAGTTTCCTCAGGCTTTGCACCCACTGGCTTGTACATTTCAAAGTGATTTATTTAGAAAAGTCTTGGTAGTGAGCCTGCGTTTGGTGTTGAAACAGGGAGGTGAGCAGAAACTACTAGGTGTGGAAGGCAGAAATGAGTTGGCAGCAGAGTGAGTCAAAGCACACGCCTCTCCCCTCTGACTGGCTGAGATGGGAGAGGAGATCAGGGATTTCGGGATCTCTGGTGTGATGTTTCCACTAAGAGCTTAATGGGGACTGACTGAATTGGGTACATGTCCTGATTAAGGAAAGTTCTACTAATAATCCAAATAATTTGAAGTTGGAGGCACTGATATCCAGATAATTGCAGTGAATAGCTCAGAGACCTGAGTGTGGGAAATCACATTTAAAACATGAGAAGGATATGACACTTAATCCAGATTAGAAATTTGATCTAAACTTCTATTGGGCACTATTTTATACTGTATGATGGAGACACCATAAATGAATTTAATTGGTTTCAAAAGCAGCCTTGTTGTTATATTAAGAACTTTTATAGTGCCAGGAACTTCCTAAGAATTAAAGTCTCTGCAGTGCATTTATCTGTTGTATCACATTATAGCCCTGTTTGCTATAAATATCTTTGCACAACATAAAACACTTCAATAGCACTTCTTATCTATAAATATCAAAATGCTTTACAAAGCTAGGTAGGTATAATTATCCCCAGTTAACAGAGTGAAACTGAGGCATAGAGCGGTTAAGTAGTTACACAGTGAGTCAGTGGTACATTTATTGGAAATATAATTCAGTCCTGTGTTCTAGTCACTGATGTAGGGGCATGAATCTGAAGTCAAGAGACTTCCACCAAACAGCAAACCAGACCTTAGAAAAGAAACAGAACATGTGGATACTGGTTTATTTTCTCTGTTCCTTTGTTGTGTTTATCAGAAAAGTTGGACAATGGGTCTAAAACTCTCTAGTTCTGGAATTTGTTCTGAATAAGCACAGAACCTGTTGCCACCACAAACAGGCAGAGAAGTTTCTCTGCTGCTGCTATCCTGAAGCTGAGCTTTTGTTTTTAGGTAGCAAAAGGGGAAAATGTTCAGGAAACAAAGGTAATTCCACGTTAGGGAGAAAAGGAAAAATAACCCTCCACAGACTGCCTGGAGAAGGTGTGACTGAGAGCTGAATATTGGTGAGGGCACCAGGAGGAGGAGGGAGAATTGCTAGCCACCAGCATAGGAATCCAAGGGCCTAAGGCTTTCTTTGTCTCCACTGAGGAACTAGATCAGTGGTTCTCAACCTTTCCAGACCACTGTATCCCTTTCGGGAGTCTGATTTGTCTTGCGTACCCCAAGATTCACCTCACTTAAACACTACTTGCTTACAAAATCAGACATAAAAATACAAAAGTGTCACAGCATGCTATTACTGAAAAATTGCTTACTTTCTCATTTTTACCATATAATTACACAATAAAATAAATTTAAAAATAAAATAAATAGATTAGAATATATTTATTGTACGTGTATATCTGTGATATTTGAGCCTGGTTTGAAGTCCAAACCCTGCTGCCCATGACTGAAGCCCTGTTTGCCACCCCTGGATGCCAGCCCTGCACTTGCAATCCCCCATAACCCATCCTGTGACCCCCCCTGGGGGATGCAACTCCCAGGCTGAGAAACACTGATCTAGATTATTTGAGTACCCCCTAGAAACCTCTGAGTATCCCCATGGGTACATGTACCCCTGGTTGAGAACCACTGAACTAGAGAACTCTTTGACCTACATGTGCTGGTACTTCATCTTGTGTATGTGGGCAAAGATCTGTGGGGCACATAACGGTGGGTATAGAGGATAGAGATGGGCCTTTATCTCCACTGCAGCTCTGAGCACCTCCAAGCTTTGTAGACCTTGATCTGCACACAAACTTTGCAGTTTAGGCCCTTCTTTCATAGGAGGATTGCATGAGTGTGAGGCTCAGTGAGGCGTCTGGGCATGCGGGTACATATGGGGAAACAGGGAAAGCTTTCCAAC